TCGCTCGCTCGCTCGCTCGCTCGCGCTCTCTCTCTCTCTCTCTCTCTCTCTCTCTCTCTCACACACACACACACACACACACACACACACACACACACACACGAAGGACAAAGAAGGCAGGAAACAACCATGCCTCAGAGAAAGCCGACTTTTTGTACACGATCTCTTCCATGGAGCAATGGGTGAATTTGTCAAGGCCGATTCTGCTCAGTTTTTCCCTTTTCCTCCATTAACTGCATTCATGTATTCTGTCCATTTCCACATCTGTTTGATGTCATTTGTTTGTTTTAAGTCTGCACAAATATTCACTTTCTTCCTGCCCATTTTGTGTACTTACTTCTGAGGCTGCATCTATCAGGCTATTTCTCCGAAAAAAAAATTAAAAAGGGCTCTCTCTGCACTTCCTCCTAAGTTGCATAGCCTTCAAATGCTCTCCCACTGCTGCACAAGTGTCCTGAAGCTTGCACCATGACATTACGGATGAGCATTGCCAGAGCCCCGCATTCATTCAGGGAGTGCGCCTTTGGTGAGGCTGCATTGAAATGCAAACCCAGCCTTTTTCTCGCCCATCCTGACTTCACAATATATGGATTGTTCATATTAAAAACAAACTGCACGCTTCTGGTCCTCACAGGCTGTGACCAATTTGAATGGCATCCACCATGGATATATGGAATGTGCTCCCCAGAGAGGCTCGCCTGGCGTTAAGTTTATACGCTTTTCGGTGCCAGGTCAAAACCTTTTTATTGCATTGATATTTTAAAAATTATTATTTTAATGGTCAACAGGTGCTTTTTATTTAACTTATTTAATCTATATTTTAGTTATTTGTTATTTATTATATTGATATGGGTGTTTTATTTTTAATGATTGTAAGCCATCCTGAGATGCCATGCATAAAAAGGTAAAGGTAAAGGTTTCCCCTTGACGTTACGTCCAGTCATGTCTGACTCTAGGGGGCAGTGCTCATCTCCGTTTCCTGGCCGAGGGAGCCGGCGTTTGTCCACAGACGGTCTCCATGCTCATGTGGCCGGCATGACTAAACACCGAGGTGCAGGAACGCTGTTACTTGCCCACCGAAGTGGCACCTTTTTATCTACTCGCATTTGCATGCTTTCGAGCTGCAAGGTTGGCAGGAGCTGGGACGGAGCAGCGGGAACTCACCCTGTGGTGCAGATTCGAACCAGCGACCTTTTGATCAACCAGCCCAGCAGCACAGCGGTTTAAACCACTGCGCCACCTGCAGTCCCATGCCATGCATAAGAGAGAGCATATAAAAGTTTTATACACACACACACTAGAAACATCATGCTAACTGGAACTGTTCTCTGTACCAATCCCCCTGAAAATGTGGTATTTTGAACAAATATGACCGTCTCACTTCTCATTCCTAATTCCAGATCATTTATGAGGAACCTTTCTGAAACCTCAATTCCTTCTGTCATAATTTCTGGGCATTGTTATTTTGTCAATTTGGTAATCTAGATCACTATGTCTAGGACTCCAGTCTGAGGCTGGGGGCATTAATGAATGTACCTTAATGTTCCTTCATGTTTGAGAAATTCCCTTAATGGTCTGTAAAGCTTTAGCACTTAACTGCCATTAAAATATGGCAGAGGTTAGGAGAGGCTGTTTGGAATCAGGAGAGGTTACAGCTAAGAGCAAATAAAGGGCAAGAGCAACTAAGACCGTTCATGGGTGGGGGTGTTACTCTTTGGAAATTGGAGGCGTGGTGAGCGTTGTCTGTCTCTTGCAAGGATGTTTTTTATCATTCACTTGGCACTAGGCCCCAATAGCTGGCATTCTCAGACCTCCCCAAAACTGTGTTTGAAAGCATCCATATGTTTGGGAAATGCACATAAAGAAAATATATTTTTTCCAAAATGTTCCCAATTATAGCTAACCCATGGGAGAAGAATGTGTGCTTTTCAAATATATGTACAACGGAGGCACATTTTTGGAAAAATATGATCAAAATATGCATGAATTTTATATGAAAATAGATTTTAGAAAAGCTCATGATCTGATACAGGTTTAAGTCAGGATAGGAGTCAAGACAGAAGCCAAAGAATTCTAGTGGTTCATGTTTTGCTAATTCACACATCCTTTCCTGCAGCGCCCTTGGATCTTTTCAGGGTCCAGGGAAGAGGGGAACCATACCATCTAAAACATGCAGTTCAAGGAGGTAAACCCACTGAACATACTGATATTACTTCTGAGTAAACATGACCAGTTTGCTCAGTTGACTGCAAACTTGTTTGGGTTTGCAAGAGATGCATTAGAGAAAGAACTTTTCCTTGCTTCTGTTTTGCAGGGGATTACTAGACTAAATCACTTTAATGGCCAGGCTGTTCTCTGAATGTTTTCCAGAACACATTAATTTGTGGATTCAATATCTCCTCCTGGCTGTTTTCCTGATCTGGGGCATATGAAAAATGTACAGAAGTCTGGGGTGCAGAAGGGATGTTTAATTGGGTCCTAACATTTGATAGACACTCACCTTTGAGGACCCCACAGCATTTCTGGCTTGCCTTTTGATCATCTCTCACAATGGGAACTCTGCGGGGAATCCCACATACTCAAAGACTGGCTCTAGCCCCTCCTAAAGGCACATGGTGCTCCCTTCACCTCCCCAGCACCTCATGGGACTCTTCATCTCAGCATCCCCTGTGTGCCCATCTCTTTTTCCCCCTCTTACCACCTACCTCCTTTATTCATCTTCATCTCTGTTGTTTTAGGAGAAAAGCCAGAAGGCTCTCCCCAGATTAGGCAGTTGGTTCCTTCACAACTTACTGCTGCTGAAAAAACTTCTTGTCAGCAAATAAATGCACAACAAACAAATTGTTATTTCTCAGAATAATAAACTGAATGGTTTTGCTATTCATTCTGGCAAGATTTGTACCCACTATAAACTAAAAAAAGAGACGTGCGGATGGCAAAAGATACAGCTGTTGTTTGCTTGAAAAAGAGATAAACAGCCCTGCAGAAGTTGATAATTTCTGCTGGGAAGTGTGGCGCCATTCAAATGAATGTCTCTACCAAAATGATACTTGGACAAAGCGAGAGTCAATTTCAGAACTCCTAAACATCTGCATTTGCTGTCAGCAGTTCATATAAATATACAAATGTTTCCCGCATTAAAGATGGAAGGTGGCGGGTGGGGAGAGAAAATAGATGCAGCATAGCAATAAGCATTCCTGAAATGCCAAGAAGAACTGATGCGACTCTCTCGTACTATGTGTGTGTGTCCTTATTCTTTCTTTCCACAAAGTGTTTACAAAAGCATCCAACTGGGGACTGAGGCTGCTTTGAGTAACTGCACCCTTCACTTTACTTCTTCTGACTAGCTCCTTCCCCAGTGCCCATGAGTCCCGTCTTGCAAATTGTAGTCCATGCTCTCTTCCCAGGTCCATGTGGCCTTTGCACATGGATAGCATTGGAGCTGTTGTTGTTGTTGTTGTTAGTCGCGAAGTCATGTCCTACCCATCGCAGCCCCATGGACAACATTCCTCCAGGCTTTCCTGTCTTCCACCATCCCCTGGAGTCCACTTAAGCTCACGCCAACTGCTTCAGGGACTCCATCTGGCCACCTCCTCAGCATAAAGTCGCAACCTGCACCCCTCCAGATAGAGCCGCCAACTACCAGGGCTGATGTTGGTTGTAGACCAGGATGTTTTATCAGCCGGAAGTTAACCACCCCTGCCTGCCATAGTTACCGCCCAAGGAAAGGATACCAGAGTGTCATTCTCCCTCTCCATCTTCTGAACTGTATGACCGCAGTCATTGTCTGAGTTGCATGTGTAATTTGGATCACAATGCACTTATGTTATGTGGATGCATTTTTGTGGGGAGGGATCTGCATATCAAAGTGTAATTTCAAAAATATATGTTCCCGGACTGCAAATAGCACCTGACCCTGTGCTCAAGTCAGAAGGTAAATTCCTGATCAAAAGCTGAACTTACATGAATTTCTCAAGTATCCCCGATGGACATGGAAATCCATCAACCCCGTGAATTGCTTCTTTGGAATGGGTGTTCCTTCACCACAGCATTTAGATGTGGTGTCATCCTGAAGTTGAGTTCTTTGCACCCCTTATTCGAAACCAAGATTCTCATGTATTCGCAGATATTACTTTTGAGAATGGCAGGTCACAAGTGCCATATCACCAAACTTTAAAAGGAGGTGTCCATGCCCTGCTCTCTCCTCTCTCCTGCCATGTTACCCACAAGATCTTTCAACAGAGGGTTGCACACACAAGGCAAAAATGGGAGAAATGCCACTTGCGTGCGCCAATCATTTAATATCATCTAATACCAATACTTAGCAGACCCTGAAACCAGACTGATTCATTCTGATTTGTACCCATGTTGATTTGCAAGCTTTATTTTATTTACTTTTTTAACAGGAACACCTGCTGCTGTTTGGTGTGCATTTTCCAAAATGTGCAGGCCTATTAGGCATATTCTTCAAAATCTAAACATTTCTCTACCATGGCTTAAAGTATGGATGTGGACACTTTTGAGATGTGGATGTTTTCCAAGCATTTCATTTGTTGTTGTTCTTGAAATTTGTCTGCAATCTTGGAAATGCACAGCCTTCAACTGTTCATTGCTTTGGGGTCTGGGTTCATTTCCAGAAGGAGCAAACTGGATAAATTATGGCCAAAAAATAAAATGGAACCCAGTGTTCATACACCTTTACTGCATAAAACCGGTTCAGAGAACTTCTGGGCCAAGAGGTGTGACAGGATAAAAGTTTAGATGGTTTCCATGTGGAACCAAGCTGAACGATTGAGATTAATTTTGTCAAGGTTTCTCTGCTTGGGTAATGAGTATGTTACCTGCCATGAACTGGAAAGATCCATGGTTATCATTACCGTATCTTGCTGGAAACCATTGCTATAGATCAGTTGTATCTAATGATGCAGTAGTGGATAGTACAAAAGCACATGTAATTTATTGTTCCCTGGGTAATGTCTCTTCATTCTCCTCCTCTGCAGACAATGGAGAATCCGAAGTATGAGTTAATAATAGAAGCAAAGGACATGGGCGGCTTGGATGTCGGGTTAACAGGCTCAGCCACTGCAACGATTCTTATTGATGACAAGAACGATCACGCACCAGTCTTCACCAAGAAGGAGGTAAATAGATCTGCTTACAATGCAGAGCAGTTAAGTCATGATTGGCCTGATCTTGAATCTGAAACAGGGCAATAACAAGAGGCACCACTGCTGATTAAATTTCAGGTGCAACCTGTGGATGGGTGTGTGGACGGAGGTTTTAGAACCCCTTCCTCCTGAGGCAAAATCCATACACCACTTTCTGCAGGAGATCTGGGCTCTCTTATTCTGCTTTTGGTGTTTCTTTGAAATGTTCACATTCCCTTGTGTTCCTGGGGGCAGATTTGGGGAGCCCAAAGTGACATTATTAAAGCTTTAATAAACAAAGCAACGCTGTATTTAAGCATGTACACTATGCCCTTCATAATCATTCAGAGCAGCTTATAAAATGAGGAGGAGGAGGTGCAGGGGAAGAAACAACAGAACACAATAGCACTCTCAAATTAATGCCACTGGTAATGAAGAGTAGCAGCTAATCATCGGAATAATATCTTACACTTAAAAATCCTGGGAACGCCCTTTAACGTGTTCATTTGGCACTTCATTGGGACCCTGTGGGAAAGAATATTCTAAACATTGAGTATCCCTCTGCCACCCAAGAGAGGACTTTCCCCCTTTGGCTTCCCCTTTACCTTAGATTTCTAGGGGCTTTGTATATGTCGATAAGTATTTCACTTAAGAAAGGCAGAATCTGTCTGTTTCTATTTCATGCTGGCCAAGCCACGTATTTCACTGAGACCATGTCTGCAAATGTGTCAACACAAACACACAATCCATATGCATTTTAGCATGCATTTCTCTCGGGTGTGTGCACTGCTTCTATTTCCCAAGTTGCCTTCAGTACAATTTGCTTGTGTGCTTACGTCTCCCAGGTATTATTTTCTGCACTTGCTTTTGCAAATTGCTTCCCAAAATTCTGAGATATGCAGATTTCAGTGTGAAAAAAGATTCTGGTTCACATGTAGGTCCATGAAGTGCAGATCAGGGAGAGTTGTATATAGAAAAAAGGACCAAACTTTTAATACATCCTTAATTGTAATTAAACTATGAAATTATCACAGAATAGGCTGAAGATCATTGCTGAAAATCTGATTTTCTCTTTATGAACCCACACTTGGATGGGTGTTGGCTGGAAGTCAGTTGGGAATAAGAGGAAGGAGACTAGGATTCAAATTACTTTTGGAGATATGTCAGTAGAAGATGGGGGAGAAGCATAATAATAATTGGCAATGAATTGAACAAATGCCAAGTGTGGTCTCATTCACCCCAACTTTCTTGAGTTGATTGGTATTGCTTCACAGAAGTCTGTAGTTATTTACCTGTCACCTGTTTTCACTTGGCACTTCCCTTCATACGAATCAAAAGCTGCAAGATGAAACTTGATGGAAATCATCAACTTTTGTCGGGAAACTGGTGAGCATTTTCCCTTGGAGAGCATCTCATTTTGACAGCACCTTAATGACTTTTCCAATAACAGAGCCTCTAAATTTAGTATCACTTTCCTTTTGTTGAAGGATAAATTATAGAAGAGCAATTTCTTTAAACATGAAAGACAGGGAGGTGAGATAGAAACCCCGCTGTGCAAATGTAGAAGGGTGCATTTACGTGGCGGGGGAAAATGAAAGGGGGGAAACCCCCTGTAGACTGTGGTTTCAGGGTTATCCCCAGTGCTTTTTTTGTAAAAAAAAAAAAAAAAAGTGCTGGTCTTGGGGTCACACTTTTACACTAAAAACGATCTTCAATTCGCCAACTTTTTTTGAAATAATGAACTTATTTACCTTTTGCACGTAGCCAGTCACTCCACACACACACAAACATGATGGTCGCCGCCGGCAGCAAGCACTCAGCACGCGACCCCACGACCCATCCCAAGCTGAGCAGCGCCCACACAAGCAGCGCCAACGCACAAGCAGCCCGCAGGCGCTATGTTAATGATGTTTGCCGCTGACCCGCTACACTCGACAGGGCGATTCACAATCATTTGGAAAAATCCATCAAAAAAAGGTGCCAGAACGCCATTGCGGTGCGTTCTATGACAAAAAAAGCCCTGGTTATCCCACCCTTCTCAGAGATTCCGACAGATATTCACACTGAATTCTTCCATATAGGAATTCCAGCACCTGTCAATTGGTCTTTCACTGTGGCCTTTAACTGCAGCACAACTAGGAAGCTGCTATGTAATGAGTAGACCATGGACCATGTTGACCAGTACAGTCAACACTGACTGGGAGGTGCTGTCCAGGGTTTCAGCAGGATTCTTCCCTGACCCTAGGGAGATGCCAGGAAGCGGTCCTGGAAACTTCTACATTAAAAGGTGTTCTATCACTGGACTATAGTCTTTCCGTAATTGATTCGTTGAATTTCAGAAGATCTGGTGGTCATCGGTAGCTAAGATGGCTTTAGAATGAGAGAAGCAGCACTGGAAGATGTCCTAGAAATCAACCCCATGTTCAGTTTGGGAATCTTGCAAGCACAGCATTTCCAAGATAGGTGGTTTAATTGCAGCGAAGGACAGTCCATAACTTTCCAAACAAATCTGTTTTCATGGTTCTCAACTGTGAAATAGAAGGTCGTCTGAAAAAGTATATTTGGAATAACGTATGTTATGGTAGCTATGTGGAGTATATCATCCATCCCCTATTATAGATGGGTATAATAGTCACACCTGACTTTCTAGCCTAAAATTGACTTTCAGCGGAGGGTTGGAATGGCTGCAATAAGTCCAGTGGAAAAAAAACAGTCAGAAAACAGGTATTTAATGTCTGCATCTCCAAACCAACCAACCAAGCAGCAAAAACCTATCAAGTAACAAAGAACTCATTTCTAATGTATAAGAATAATGGTAGCATTATGAGAATGAAAGCCATTAGCAAAATGGCATTGGGATAATACAAACATGGCCTAGAATAAAAATTATAATACAATATAAAGAGGCCCCAAAGTTAAGATAGTTGCAATTCCTTGCTGTCTTTTGCTTTTATTATTCTCCCATTGTTTAATGTTATCTAGTTGACAGCGATTCCTTTTGAAGAGAGTAATTGCAATTTTGCTTCTGTTCATAATTATTCATTCCCCAATATCAGGTTGAGAGGCTAGAAGGAGAAAGGGAAGAATCAGAATAGCATTGTTAAACATTAAAACAGTGTGTCAGCTAATAAAATCTAATGACACTTTAAATAGATGGCCCTGGAGGAGGGTTTGCCAAAATACTAACACACAAAGTTGTTGTTGTTGTTGTTGTTGTTGTTGTTTTTAATGCAATTTCTAATACCCAAAGCTCTCTGGGGGATTCACAACTGTACATAAAAACAATGCAATAAAATACAGTAAAATAGTCATACATCTTATTAAAAGAAACATTTGGGGGGGGGGGAATTGAACAGAGCTGAAAACAAACTATGAAAGATGGCCCTACAAAATAGAAGCATCTGGGATGGGTAATCCCTCAAGACTTTGGTGACCAATCTTTGAAACTATATTCACACTTGATGGTTAGCATCCACTGGGTTTAATGAAAAACCTTTCAGAGCTCAAGATGAGAGAGAAATCTGCATGCTTTATCTTTTAATGTGAACTTATGGAATGCGCTCCCCAGAGATGTCTGCCTGGCACCGTCCTTATTTGTTTTTCAGTGCCAGGCAAAGACCTTTTTATTTAAACAATATTTTAATAACTTTTAATATTATTTACTGGTTGTAATTTTTACAGCCAGGGTGAATCCGGATTTTAATATGTATTCTTTATATGCTTGAGTGTGTTGGAAGCCGTCCCGAGGTTCATGCGAATGGGATGGCATACAAAAACTCCAAATAAATAAATAAATAAATAAACAAACAAACTTAACTGATTTCACAATTTCGCATCAGTAAATGAAGGTGACTTCGGATATCCTTCAAAATTCCCAAATTTTGCAAAGCAGCTCACCAAGAATATTGACGGATATGTGTAACATGTGACCAAAACTGCATTTACAGAATATATGCTTCTCCCCTATGTCCCTTCCCATTCCTTGAGATCTGAGGCAGGGGTCCTTCTCTGGGACCCCCCCTCTTTCAAGGAAATTAGGAGGGTAGCTACCCAGAGAAGGTCCTTTTCAGTGGTGGCGCCCTAACTGTGGAACACGCTCCCCAGGGAGGTTCGCCTGGCACCACCACCACCTTCCTTTTGGCATCAGGCAAATAACTTTTTATCTTCCCAACATTTTAACATTTAAATGGTTTTATCATGGATTTTATCGTGAATGGTCAGATACAGTGTGTTGTGTGCAGTTGTTTGGTTTTTTGTTTTTTGTAAGTTGTCCAGAGACTTTAGTATAGGACAGCATAGAAAAACTACAAAATAAATTAATAATAAGTATAAGCATTCAACTTATTTATTTATTATTTATTTATTAAAACATTTTTATGCCGCCCCATTCGCTGAAGCCTCGGGGCAGCTCACATCATTAAGCTAAAATAATTATAATATAAATTAAAAATATAAATATTAAATTAAAATACAACAATACAGTATAAAATAAGCCGCCCTGGCCAGATAAAACCAATAATGTTAACAGTTAAAATGCCGCTTGAATAAAAAGGTCTTCGCCTGGCACCGAAAAACAAATAACGACGGCGCCAGGCGGACCTCTCTGGGGAGCACGTTCCATAACTTAGGCGCCACCGCAGAGAAAGCCCTCCTCCGAGTAGCCACCCTCCTAATTTCTTTCACGGAGGGTTCCTGGAGAAGGGCCTCCCCCGCCGATCTCAAGGGGCGGCTGGGCGTATATGGATGCAAGTGCTCCTTCAGGTAACCAACTTCTAGGGAAACCACTTTCAAAAAAGGCTGTATCTCTGGCAGCTTTCAAAATACCATTATCGGGAGAAATGGACGAGAGTACAGGTTCTCATGCAACAATGAGATCTCAAAAATGGAGATGAACTGAACATAATTTGAAAAAAATGAGCCACAGAGGGAAACTATAGTTGAGCGGCTCTTCCTACTCAAACTGGAACACAAGAAGTTGCTTTAAAGCAGGTCAG